TTAGTTTTTTTTACTTTGTATTCATTAAAAAAAATACTGAAAATCCACAATAATATTAAGCAGCAAAAATGTCTAATTATTGATAGTAATAAGAAGAAATGTTTCTTGTGCACCAAATCAACATATTAGAATGATTTCTGAAGGATCATAAAGGCCGGAGTAATGACTGAAAATTCAGCTTTGTGATCAGAGGAATAAATAGCATAAAATGTTAAAATAGAACACAGTTATGTAGTAACGTTTCATAATGTTACTGTTTTTACTGCATTTGTGATCAAGTAAATGCAGCCTAGGTGAGCATAAAATACTTTTTTTATAAAGATTAAAAAAAAACAACAACCCCAAACTTTTGAAAAAATAGTGTATTTATTATGAATACTGTATTCTCAAGATGAAATGGCACTTCCTGTATTTGACATCAATATAGCTGGCCTTGCTTATTTATAACCCCTTCATCTCTGTTTTCCTTCTGTAGGACTACACACATGAATTTCATAAAACCAAATCAAACTTCATGGCAATCAGGGAGAGAGAGGATCTTTTGGGATCTGTGAGAAAAGATATTGAGTGAGTTTTCTCTTTAATTTCCGTTTGAAACCAAAAAGGTTATGAAGATCGATTCCATCTAATGTGTAGTTAACCTGGATTAGGAAAGCTTGTATATGGAATGATAGTTCACTCCAAAAACATGGTTTCTGCTTACAATTCAAGCTGTCTGGTCTTTATACCTCCATGCTGTTTCATCCCAGAGCAAAGCATACAAATTTGTTTAATCCAGGCCCTGATGAAATCTATGGATTATTTTTTTCGCATTTCAGGATTCTTCTGAATGGATTTTAAAATGTGTTAAACTGATATGGGATTAACACACTCTTATTTTAGTATATTTAATAAACGAATACGTGAAGAACGTGCAAGCATTCTGTGGAGTTCTGCAGTCACCGATTTGACATGGTTCTGGGATCGTAACCCTGAGATCGTGACTGCAGGGCTGGATAATGACTTATTGATCTGAGCCGCAATGCTCTAGCACCTCTATGGGCTGCTTATTTAATTTGTGTGCCTTGAAATAGTTGTGGTACCATATATGATGAGAAAAACTCCATACTGCTCCTTGCAATTGCTATTGAACTTATTTTTTTAGTCTAAATAAACTGACTGTCAGGGTTAGATTTGAGCTCAGTCCATTTCTCACAGCGCTGTATTTATAAAGCCTGTATTTACACAAGTTAGGGTTACGTCCCTCTCTGCCTCATGTTCAGCTGCCTCCCACTCACCTGACCAGCAGTAAACTTGTTTACCCAGAATAGAGAACAGCACTTCAGCAGATTTTATTCACTTGAGCATCAGTTTGAGTAGGGTACTCTTAGAATGTTGCACAGATTTGACCTAATCAATCAGTACTCTGATGAAATTATATATAACTCAGGAAAAGAGCATTCTGATTATTAATAACCTGAACATACATTGTTTTACTACCATTCAAATTTTGGAGTCTGTTAGATCTTTAAAAAATTACTATGAAAAGAAGTCTCTTGTGCTCACCAAGGCTGCATTTATTTGATCAGAAATACAGTAAAAACGGCAATGTTTTTAAATCATTTAAAATAACTGTTTTCTATTTTAATGTAATTTATTCCTGTGATACGAAGCTGAATTTTCAGCATCACCATTACTCCAGTCTTCAGTGTCACGTGATCCTTTAGAAATCATTCTAATATGCTGATTTGCTGCTCGGAAAACATTTCTGATTATTATCAATGTTGAAAACAGTTGTGCTGCTTAAGATTTTTGTGTAAACGTGATGTATTTTTTTTCCACAGTTTTTTTGATGAATAGAAGGAACAGCATTTATTTGAAATAGAAATCTTTTACATTAACATTATGAATGTCTTTACTCTCAATTTTGATCAGTTTAATGTGCCCTTGCTGAATACAAATATTAAATTCTATAAAAAAAGATATCTTCCAGACCCCAAAATTTTGAATGGTATACGTCTTGTTAATAGATCATATTATCTGAATCCCACTATTGTTAAATTTATTGATTATTGTACAGACACGATCTGTTTTAAGATTTTTACTTATTGTTTGTCAATATTGTTTGTCAAAGTCAACATCCTAATAATTTAATATATTATTCTGCAAAATAGTGTAGTAGAAAGTGGTAATCATTCATTCATACAAGGTGTAATATTCATATTTACCCCCAGAGGGCGATGGGGCAGCTTTTGTAACACCCTGCTGGATTTACCAGCCAATGTAGAGCATTGTTTGCACACACATACCCAGTTACTTTCTGTCGTGCAGACTGTAATGGTTCTAGTTTCACCCGGGCCACCGCCAAAGCCTCACTCCTTGAGTTTTGTGGTGCGTGTCGTGCCTGCTGTGCTTCTCCTGTTACTGGGCTTCCCATCAATCAGCAGCTCAGCGCTATAGAAATGTCAGCAGGCAGAAATGACAAAGCCCCCTGTGTGATTTAGTGCACTGCCCTTTAAAACCTTGTTGGAATGATTAAGTTGGCTGTCGGCACCCTGTCGCTGTGATTGGTGTGGACTGACAGTTGATTTGACCAGCGGGCAGGTGTAATCCCATAGAAACTGAATTAATATCCCTTCTATATCAGTCTGTTTACAATAGGTACATAGAAATCCCACCAGAGGATTGAGTGGGTGGAGCCTAGTTCAGACAAGGTTGTCGTTCAGGCTGCCATTTCTCACCCTCATAAACTCTCCCATCTGAGATGGAGATTTGTTTTAATTTGTGCTGTCAGGCCAGTGGGTGTCTTAAGAAAAGCCTAGCTGGTGTTGCACAAAGCAGAGGGGGTGTTTTTGTCTTTCATTTTCTTGATGAACTCTTGGGAAAGGGCTGTTCTTCCCAGCACTGTATTCATTCATTATTTACACTAAATGCTCTCTGTGAGAGAGAGCTTGTGCATGGCACAGGATGAAGAGAAACCCTCAATATTAACCCAGCCCCCACTTCATCTGACGTGCCAGACTTTCTATAGAATGATGTTCATAAAATGCCACATGGGTGATTGCATGTTTCTGTTTAATTGTTAATTAATTTTCTTTTCTCTTGTCAGGACATATAAGAGTGGCTCGGGGGTGAATAACAGGCGGACAGAGCTCTTCCTGAAAGAACACGAGCACTTGAGAAAGTAAGACCCTCCTCTTCTGCTGTCTACTTGACGAAATTCACGGAAATTCACAGTAGCCCAATTTTTGTGTGAAGAATAGGGGTGTGCAGCAAAGCCAGTATTTGTATCTGTAACAATCTGTAACATTATCCAATCTGGCCCAAATGTCACACGTTTGATAGGTGTTATGTCCTGAACAAATACCCATTCCCAAATTCAGTAATACTCATAGCGCCACCTGCTGGCAAGAGGAAGTGACATGCTTAACACTGTTATGGACTCCTAGCAACATTAAAAAGCATCAGGAAGTGTTACATAGGCTGGCAACATGCTAGAAACATACTAAAACATGCTAGCAACACTTAGCTAAGTGCTAAAGCATGCTATTAATGCAGTGAAACAAGAAGGTACTGTAACTCAGGCATGCAGTGTCCAATCTGCCCCAAATTTAACAAGTTTGATAAGAGTCCTGTCCTGAACGCATCTTCATGCCCGTATTCGGTTATAGTCATAGCGCCACCTGCTGGCAACAGGAAGTGACATGTTTAACACTGTTATGGACTCCTAGCAACATTAAAAAGCATCAGGAAGTGTTACATAGGCTGGCAACATGCTAGAAACATGAAAAAACATGCTAGCAATATGTAGCTAAGTGTTAAAGCATGCTATTAATGCAGTGAAACAGGAAGTTGTTGTAACTCGTGCATACAATCCCCAATCTGCTGCCAATTTAACAAGTTTGATAAGATTCCTGGCCTGAAGACATCTACATGCTCGTATTCGGTTACAGATATAGCGCCACCTATTGGCAACAGGAAGTGAAAAGTGTAACACTGTAATGCGCTAATAGCAACACAGTAAAATATGCCATCGTGTGCTAAACATGCTAGAAATATGCTCAAACATACTAGCAACACTTACTAAGTGCTAAAGCATGGAATTAATACCATGAAAGAGGAAGTTGTTGTAACTCATGCATACAATGCTCAATCTGCCGCAAACTTCACACGTTTTATGAGAGTCCTGGCCTGAACACATCTAAAAGCCAATATTCAGTAATAATTATAGTGCCACCTGCTGGCAACAGGAAATGACTTGTTTCACAGTAACTTAAACATGCAATGTCTGATCTGCTCTAAATTTCAAATGTTTGATAAGAGTCCTGGCCTGAAAACATGTACATGCCAATAGTCAGTTATAATCATAGCGCCACCTACTGGCAACAGGAAATTACTTGTTTTACACTAACTTAAACATGCAATGTCCGATCTGCCCCAAACTTTACGTTTGATAAGAGTCCTGCCCAGAACACATCTTAAGGCCAATATTCAATAATAATCATAGCGCCACCAGCTGGCAGCAGGATGTTTGGTACATATAAATGACTTTGACACATTCCTCCTATATTTACCACTTATTGCATATTGCCCACTGTTTGCTGTTTTCCTAAAGTGGCGGTGAGCCCGGGTGCGAGGGCCCGTTCATCGCTGCTTGCAGCTTTAATTTGTATCTGTATTTGGATAAAACCGGAAGTAGGCAGAGCTTGAACCAGAACTTTGTACAGTTATATTTTATAAGACTGTTATGTTTATGGTTTTACAGCCTATCTTCTTTCGTAGTTATCACTGAACAAATATGTTGTGTTTAACTAAAATAATTATTTATTTATGATTATAACATTTATTTAATATCTTCTAACAGTCGGAGCCATTTTCCTTGTATAGGCATTGCTTCGAGATGTAGTGCGGTTGTGCTTCGAGCAACGTGAGTTCGAGTCCCAGCTTGGGGACCTTTCATGATCCGATAAATAAATATTTAAATATCTTAATTAAAACGGTAAGGGTTCCTACGCAGTTTAGAAATATAAAAATTGATTTAAAGATTTAGGGTCATATGATGCGATTTTCAATTTTTCCTTTCTCTTTGGAGTGTAATAAACTCATTTAACTACTTCACACACTTGTTAGAGGTTTATGTAAAACAACATGATTTCCATTGGTTCACCGATTCCTGCGCAGTTTAAAAAAAGTATTTCACTTAAGTAATTTTCAGGTCTGGAAAACCTATGAGAAAAAAAGAGAACAGAGTATGGACAAATATTTGTGTTTCGACTATTTGCCCTATTCAGTGTTCTAAAATATAAAATTAATCATTTCTAAAAATGTATCATACAAGTAGGAAGATTTCATGACAAACATTTAGTTTTCATTTGAACACAACTTTTTTTTGAACTTCACTAAACAAATGTGCGTGTGCCACGCAAACCAGCAAAAGATAAGGAAGCAAACATGTAGGCCTAGTAGAAAATGTATCTGTATTTAAGTTGATTATTAGCCTACTCTTTGACAGAGAGCTGGTTTGGTTTTTGAGAGACAGACGTGCAGAGATGGCAACACGGCTGTTTGATTGGCGATCGTGCTGTGCTTCTTCATTCGTGTATCATATTGTAGCATATAAGGTTTAAATCATTCATTGACTTTTATATATACACAAATAGTAGAACGTGTATGATTTTGTGTATTATTTTAGGTAATATTAGGCCTACTCTTGACAAGCTCTGATTTCTGAGAAATGCACGGAGTGGCAACAGCAATGCGGTGTTTGATTTGTGCTCTTTTTATTCATAAAGTTTACATTCATTCACTTCACACACTCATTATTGTATGAATTTAGAGGTTTGTGTAAAATATTGCACTGATGCCCTGGCTCACATGTGAATCTAGCAAACACCAGACTGTGCTGCAGCCTCAGCCGAATATTCGAGGCATAATTATTCGTTATCCGTTATTCGTTTTTGAAGCCATTATCTGTGCCGTTCCGAATAAGGTATTCGGCTTCGGGCACACCCCTAGTGAAAAAATTATAAAATAATAATTTTATTTAATGGGAAGGAGCAGCATTGAAAAAAATTCACATGGTACACATAGATTTAAAATGCATTTTTTAAAACTCCAGGTTTGGTGCGCTTGTTTGTAGGTCTGAAATTTTGGGCCAAAATTGTGTAATTTCTAATATTATTATAGTTATAATAATAATAATTGTATTTATTACAGTACAACAGTAAAATTATAATATAGGTGTTTCTTTTATTTTATAATGTTAAATCATCAAGCTTTTTGGCAAAATAAAAGCTACAGGAAGCACTTAAGCTTCTCTTTTGTTGACCACAGCCAGTTTATAAGTTTGGGAAGTTGTTTGAGGTATGCAAGCAATAACCCAGTTTGTGTAGAACTGCAAAGCAATCTGCTTCCAGACCCTGAAAACACTGGAAGTATGCATGTAATTGAACACAGTGCTGTGCTTCACTCTGTAACTCACAGTGCATATATTTATTTAATTAAATTGCAGCCCTTAGCAATTAGATAATCGCACTAAGCCGTATTGTGATTTCGGTTTTATTTCAATTAAATGTTTCACTCTACATGGTACTACATCTTCATTTCAACCCTTTTTGATAAGATCAACACAACCACTAACAGATCAATAAAGATAGTGGTGCAGTTCTAGTCAATCCAGAGTTTGTCAGTGAATGAAGAGAGGTAGCAAACTTCAGAGGCGCCCACATTCAGTGAAGTGAATATTCAGGTGAAAGATAGAGAATAAGACGCTCAAAGTGTAGCACTCTGTCACCCACTTTCAGTGTCACAGCCACTTTGTCTGAGGAATAGAGGAAGGTTACCTTTAATAGACACACTCTCATTCATCAGTAACTCAGCAAGGCCGCTTGTCTCTCTTGCGCTGTTCTATGTCAAATTGATGCACTTTTGTGCTTGTGTAGGCATGGGGTGATTTGGTATAACAAAGGATGTTAAATTCACACTGGTTTTAAAACGTTAAAATGAATCGATGGGCTGTGGTAAAGAATTTGAATGAGCATTTGCTCTGGGTCATTTGTTTCATAGCAAAGCCTCAGTGTATCAGTTTGCCAGAGGTAAGTAAAAGAGACCAATGACAGATGAATATTACACGCTCATGTGGATTGATTATTGCCTAAGGAAAGCTTGAATAAACAAGCTCAAATGAAAGTTTAACTTCTTGGATTCAACTTTTTTTTTTATTAATTTAATACTGTAAGTAAATGTAAATTGCCATTTGTTGACGAGGCTTTATTTTTAAGTTATAAAAACTAAAAGTTATTTAATAGATGAATTCATGTGACAGAGATGAATATTACACGCTCATGTGGATTGATTATTGCCTAAGGAAAGCTTGAATAAACAAGCTCAAATGAAAGTTTAACTTCTTGGATTCAACTTTTTTTTTTTATTAATTTAATACTGTAAGTAAATGTAAATTGCCATTTGTTGACGAGGCTTTATTTTTAAGTTATAAAAACTAAAAGTTATTTAATAGATGAATTCATTGTAAGGCCATATATTTGTACATTCTTCCATTCAAAAGACTTGAAACTTTCTATTCATCAAAAAATCACAGTTGAATGTATCACTGTTTCCACAATGTTAAGCAGCACAACTGTTTTCAACACTGATAATAACAGAAATCTGAAGGATCATGTGACACTGAAGACTAGAGCAATGGCTGTTTTGCCATTACAGGAATACAGTATACTTAAAAATATATTACAATAGAAAATTTTAAATTGTAATAATATTTCACAAACATATTTTGCATCAAATGAATACGAGCTTAATAAATATAAACTTTCAGAAACACATTTTACCGACCACAAACCTTTAAACAGTAGTGTATATATGAATATTCTGCGAAATATTGCAAACTGTTCAATAAAATATAAAGTATATTGTTTTTATACAATATTTTTTTAATGTGCAATGACTATAAATGAACAGGGTTTTATTTTATTTATTTTTTTTTTAATTATTTTTTTTTTTTTATATAAATATCCCTGTAGGGCTAATACATGGGAAAAATACTGGCGGAACCAAAAAAAATGGGCGGTTACTGTTTTGCTGTATAGAGCCAGTTCAGATTCACTCGCAGAGTCTCTCCATTGATCTACTCCTCATGTGCAGAGTAGTAATTGGCACAGTTGACACTGT